CTGTGTTCATCCAGCCCCGCACCTTGTTGTCACTTAACTGAACGTGTGTTTAGTGTACAAATGATAGATAAAAAGACTATGTGCAGATCTTAACAGGGAATTCTGAGCAATTCTATTGGTGAAAACTGCAAATACAGTCAATGGAGGAAGGTATCACTGACAGCAACTTTGGATTTCAGTATTTTACCGCACATATTTGGTGGCACAGTGGTTAGCATTGCTACCTCACAGCGCCAGGGACCTGGGTTCAATTCCACCCTCGGGCGACTGTCTGTGGAGTTTGCACATTCTCTCCGTGTCTGCTTGGGTTTCCTCCACGTGCTCTGGTTTTCTCCCACAGTCCAAAGATGTGCAGGCTAGGTAGATTGGTCATGCTAAATTGCCTGTAGCGTTCAGGGATGTGTAGATTAGGTGGGTTATAGGGGAATGGGTTTGGGTGGGTGCTCTGAGAGTCGGTGTGGACTTGTTGGGCCGAAAGGCCTGTTTCCATACTGTAGGGGTTCTAATGATTGATTCTATGTGGATGGCAGCAGTTAAAGGACAGTTTTACTGAGCAATAACAGTACTAACAGCACAGTGAAATGCAGCTGCTGTTTCTTTCTTGTCGCTTCTGCAGGAATTTCTCCCATTTGTAAAGTTATTTGCTTAGCTGGTGTTATTTGTTTCTCCAACTTTAATTTTTTTTTAACCATTGTCTGATGCTTAAAACTATTAGATGACCCTGGCAATTACTTTTAAGGCAAGCTTTGGGTCACTGATACTTCTTCTCTGGTTGTTGCTATTCACTTTTTCTGATTTTGTTGCTGACTTTTCACTTCTGTTTCAAGCTGAGCCATTCTTAAAGGTTTAAACATTTCAATGACATTTGCAATTTCCAGTCCATAATCATCACTTTTGAATGTAGGGACTTTGGTACATGATGATTAAATATACTACACGTACTTACTTAATACCATCATGATCAGAACATTTTTTTTTAAATGTTCACTCGGGGTTTGTGGGCATCACTGCTTGGACCAGCATTTATTGCCTGTCCCTACTTGCCTTCTTGACCAATGCAGACACTGTAGAGAGACCCACAATGCCTTGACTAAGGGAGCTCCAAAATTTTGATCCAGTGACATTGAAGAAATGGTGCTTTATTTCCAAGTCAATTTGACGAATAGCTTGGAGGGAATCTTGCAGATGGTGGTGTGCCCACGTATCTGCAACCTTGTCCTTCTAGATGGTAGGAGTCATGGATTTGGAAAGTGTCGTCCAAAGAGTTTTGGTGAATTTCTGCAGTGCATCTTGGAGATGTGGTATACTGCTGCTAATGAGCATCAATGGTGGAGGGACTGAATGGCACCACATTCAGAACAATTAAGTGGGCTGCTTTGTCCTGGATGGTGTCAAGGTTCTTGAGTGTTGTTGGAGCTGCACTCATCCAGGCAAATGGAGAGTATTCCATCACACTCCTCACTTGTACCTTGTAGATGGTGGACAAATCTTGGGGAGTCAGAAGGCAAGTTATTCACTGCAAGATTCCTAGCTTCTTACCTGTTCTTGTAGCCACTGTGTTTATGTGGCTAGTCCAGTTCAGTTTCAGGTCAATGATAACCTCCAGAATGTTGGCAGTGGAATGTAAAAAGATGGTTATATTCTCTTGTTGGAAATTGTAATTGCCAGGCACTTGTGTGGTGTGCATTGTACTGGTTACTTCTCAGCCCAAGCCTAGATATTGTCCAGATCTCGTTGCATTTGAACATGGACTACTTCAGTATCCGAGTTACTGCAGATGGTGCTGAACATTGTGTAATCATAGACCAACATTTCCAGTTCTGATCTTATAATGGAGGGCAGGTCATTGATGAAACATTTGAAGATGGATGGACCTAGCACACTACCCCGAGGAACTCCTGCAGAGATGTCCTAGAGCTGAGATAACTGACCCCCCACAACCACAACCATCTTCCTTTGTGACAGGTATGACTCAAACTAGTGGAAAGTTTTCCCTCTAATTCATTGACTCCAAGTTTTCTCAAGCTCCTCGATGCCACACTCAGTCAAGTGCATCCTTGATGTCAAGGTCATTTACTGTCACGTCACCTCTGGAATTCAGCTCTTTTGTCCGTGTTTGAACCAAGGTTATAATGAAGTTATGAGCTCAGTGGCCCTAGTGAAATCCAAACTGAGCTTCACTGAGCAAATTATTGTTGAGTCAGTGCTACTCCATAGTACTGCTGATGACATGTTTTAAAAGACTTATTCATAGGATATGGGCATCACTGATGAAGCCAGCATTAACAGCCCATCCCTAATTGCCCAAAAGACAGTTAAGACTCAACTACAGACCACAGTAAGGATGGCAGTTTCCTTTCCTGAAATGACATTAGTGAGCCAGATAGATTTTTCTGACAATCAACAATGATTTTTAGTGAATTCAAATTCAACCATCTGCCATGCTAAGATTCAAATCCATGGTCCCAGAACATGACCTGTGTTTCCAGGATTAAGTCTAGTGATAATATGACAAGACCATTGCTTACCTTTTTACTGAAGATTATTCAAAATGCTTCAGCCTGATCTTTTGCATTGATGTGCTGGGCTCCCCATATATACACAAAAATGCAGTAGCATTAACAAGTTGCTAACATCATCATTATATTTTACTTTTTGCACAAAGTAACAAAGTAACATCTAAATATCTGCAACATCATAATTTGGCATTACTTTAAAAACAGAAAACTTATGATAACTTGCCTCCACTGACTTCTTCCACTGTGAATGTATCATTTTTGCTGTTTGCTTGTCTAAATGAACTTTACAGTCTTCAGCACGTAGAAGGTCTAAAACAAGAAGGAGACTCTAAATCACATCTATTCTTTCTAAATTGTAAATTTTACTTGGATTAACATTTCTAACAAATTATAAACACCGTATCAAATAATAATCCATGTTATTCAGTGAACTAAAATATGCATTATATGGGATATTGTAGTAACACTTAAAGGATTTGGATAAAAATTAAATTTTACATTGAATTATTGCTTATTACATTCATTGAGGATGAGGTCGTTGAATAAATGCAGTCCCATTCAATAAATACTTTGGATAACGGGGGATAATTCTACAGGCTGCTGAATTTTGACAACCCGTGGCAGTCTTTCAAAGTTTAACAGCCAGTAAAACAATTAATTGACATGGAAATGAAAAGATAAGTTATTGTGCAAACCTACAAATATCTCACGATGTCTACAAATATGAAGAGACAACTATTGGCTTTGTCTTGGATATTTTCAAGACAATGGTGCTGGAGACTGGATTATGATTATCTTGCCTGTATTGCCAATACTTAATTATACACTAGTAAAGCCCAGGGACCTAGAAGTTGGACATGTAATTTGAAGTAAATATTTTCTCATTCAGAGATGCCATCACTTGGCCAATCTGAAAGAAACATTGTGAAATGAAGTCACACAAATCATTGATATAATAAGGTGTAGAGCTGGATGAACACAGCAGGCCAAGCAGCAGAGGAGCAGGAAAGCTGACGTTTCGGGCCTAGACCCTTCTTCATTGAGTTGGTTTACTTTACAGACAGCAAGTTATTATACAAAGTAACAAATCAAAGCAAATAACACTTTCTCTACTTAATCAGAAACCTCTTCTGAAAAATGTAAAAATAGTCCATTATGTACCCTAAATTTTTACTGCTTTGGGCATTATCCCCAGAGTCTCATTGAATAGCAGAATGGGCTCGAGAGATTGCATGGCCCGCTCCTGCTCTTTAGTTTGTTTGTATGGCAACAACCAGTTTCTTGTTCATGGTAATAGCTCTCTGGTCCCAATTTAAAATCTGACCAACTGCCAAAACCTTCTTTTATCCTGTAATCTTAGGATACATGCAGGAATCAGAAATGAAGAGACTCCAGTTTTCTCTCCTCCAAGAATTTGCCACCAAGTTTTTTGAACAACTCATGCTGGTATCAAATAAACAGAAACACACCCAGCTCAAAAGAATGAGAATGATCACTGAAATCTCCAGATCAAGTTCCATGACCTAAATTACTCTCGCTCAGATTTTTGAACAGAATCCAAACTTATATTTGGTACCTATGCAGTTCCATACTTTAAGCCTTTGAGCTGCATTTAAAATTCAAACATAAATTATATCAAGATCTTCCAATAGCATAGTTAGAAATCCCACAACATTTGTGGCTCTTCCAAACCAGAGTTAAATTTGCCATTCATTCTCTGCATATCACTCATAGTTGTCTCCAACAATAAAGCAAGACTCCAATAGATGAGTAGCTATTTAAATTTACAATAAATACTTTGTTTAACCAAGAAGCATATTTTTCCCCCCCAAGATTTCCAAAAGGTGTAACATAATCGAAGACAGGATTACTTTATGTAGCTCAAGGGACTTTTGCTTGTCACCTAGTGCATGAGTGATGAAATTTTTTTCCTGGTTTAGGGAAATATAATATTGCTTGAAGAGGAAGAAGTCAGCAATTTATTTCCAAAGAACTGCTAGGATGTTAGAAGCCTAAGAGGTGACATAAAAGATTTTCAAAGTGAACTTTCCACAGTGTAAATGGAGGAAAAGCCATTCCCATTGGCAAGTGGGATAATAGTAAGATGTCATTGATATGAAAGCAGAGTCAAAAGATCCAGAGGGGGCTACTCACAAGCAGCATTCCACTGTTTTCTGTGCAGACTGCCGTGGTTGTGAGAGAACGATTTCCGGAATTGGAAGTCAATGCTGCAATGTGTGTTGGCACGCCAATTGCCGTGCAACGGATCTTGATCGTTAGATAGTCTTTATACCCTGCACAGAATTGTCAGGGTCGAGAATGCTCTACATAACAATGTGGTCTTTGGAAGGAAGACGGGAAATGAATTAAGGATGAGGAATCTAAAAGATTTTACGCAGTGAGTAAGGTTGTGAAAATAAACAAGAGTTTTTGAACAGTCAGCTCAAGCATGATAGGCCAAAATGAACAAAAGTTATAAAAAAAGCCAACATTTGTTCAGAGATAGTAGGAACTGCTGACGCTGGAGAATCTGAGATAACAAGGTGTAGAGCTGGATGAACACAGCAGGCCAAGCAGCATCTGAGGAGCAGGAAAGCTGACGTTTCGGGTCTGGATCCTTCTTCAGAAAAAGTGACTTCCAAGAAATTAATAATTTGACAGATTCAGGAAAGCAATATTTGTTACCATCACAAGAAAGCTCAGGCTTATTTCTCAGTTTGTATTTTATAAATTTTTTTGTTGACAAACTGTGAGATGGCTGACATTATACTAAGTAACATTAAGAGCTGAACATAGCTTAGCATTTATAGATGAATGAAAGGAAGCAAACTACAATATGCTCATTTCATTCATGGCACAAAGAATTGCTGCATTTATTTGGACTACTAAAATACTTTAATTTCAACACAAACATCACTTGAATACTAAAAATTAAAAGCACTTCATTTTTAATTAATACATACACATACTTCAAAACAATTACACAAATCAGAATCATTATGGAATCAAAGGATGATGGATGCAAGAGAGGAAGAAAAACACACTTTAATTCTCTTAGCACATCTCAACTTACCAGGATCAATACCAGGCGACCCAAACAACTCTACAAGCTGTAACGCAAATTCAAGTGATAACTGCAGTTCAAGAAAAGGGCATTTTTCCGAGCACTTTAGAAGTTCTTGGTCAATGGCTTGCCTTGATTTTTCTGCTAATTCACATCCAACACACGGATTGCAGGTTGACGCTCTGTATTGTTTGAACTGAGACAAATAATGTTTTTTCTTCAAGTTGTCTAATTTGTAACAAAAAGCTTCAGGAGAACTGAAGATGTTTGCATAAGGCAAGGACAGTGAAATTGGTTTTTCTGTGAAAGCTGTTTTGCTTTGGTTTAATCTAGTCACAGAAGAATTAACGGGATGCATTTGTGTTTCACTTGGTGGAGGTGAAAGCAGATCATTATGCATTGTTTCACCTCTGACAGTGTGCCATGACTGTACATTACACGATTCATCTTGTGTCTTTTTAATCAAACTGTTTTTACTTCTGCTTTCCCTCTTTACACTATTATAGGTTGTTTTGCACAATGAAATGGTTTTACAGAATTGAGAACCCTCAACAACAGTTTGGTCCAGTTTTTCATAGCATGTTCCTGTGGTTTCCAGTATACCAAGTTTTGTTTTTGCTATTTCACTCTGAAAGACATTAGTTGCTGACACACTGTTCATTGGCTTGGTCTCATTTATAAAGAATTCATGCCTTCTGTTTTTTTCCAAATCCACTGGGGTGTGTCGAGAAATCTGAAAAGTAGGTGCTAATCTGCAGAATTTTTTTTGTTTTCGTCTGGAATTTATCCTGGTGAATGGTGGATTATAAACATAATCTTGCAATGTTAGCTCTTTATCAGTTTCATTAATCCATTTATCAGTACAAAAACCGTGCTTTTCTTTCATGCCATCAGCTGTTTCAGAAAGAAGGTTAGGAAGTGCAAATGATTTCATTTTAGAA